GGCCAAAGACCCCGCTATGTTGCCCGCGCAGGCGAACATCGAGGCAGCGCTGCGCGGCCCCCCCTATCCCCCCCCACCTATCCCCTCCGGGGCCTCGGCTGCGCGGACAGGGCGAGGAGGAAAGAGGGGGCGGCCCTGATCGCGACGACGACGGCGGCGACGACGTCAGCAGTGCCTGGGCACCTCGGACGACGCCGGCGGCCGCCCTGCGCGAGGGCGCGGACCCTCGCGCCCCCGCGCGCGCCAGCGCGGACTCCGACGAGAATCGAGACGGCACCGCGCAATGCAACCAGGCCTGCAACCGGCGGCGGCATCTCGCGCGCCACCTGGGCCAACGCTCAGCCACCGTTAGCCGAGCTGCCAGCCGCCGCTCGTCCACCCGGGCGCCGCCGAGGACCCATGTCGGCGCTGAGGTCGCCGTTCAAGGCCAGGCGCAACGCCCCGTCACAGGCTCGCGCGGCATTGTCCGAGGCATATCAGGTGACTACTCAGAACATCGGACCGATACGCCCTACTCTCGCGACACCGCCCACTGGCCCCCCACCGACCCGCCCGCCCGCCCCCCGCGCCATGCCCAGAGGCGCCACCCCTCGAGCACTTCTCTGGCGGCGCCAGCCCGAGGCCCGTCACCCCCCCCCCTCTCTCGCCCAGCCACGCCAAGGGGGGCGGGGCAAGGTCGAGGGGGGAAGCGGAGGCGACCCCGACCACCGCGACGACGACGACGCCGGCAGCAGCGCCCCCCCGCCCGCTGGCACGGCCCAAGACGACAACGCAGACGGCCCCCGTGGGAGACCATGCTCGCGCGGGCCCCCAGCGAGGCTGCGCGAGCAGCCATGGCGGATTACGCGCGCGACGGTGGACGCCCGCACAGAGCACCACCCGATTGCGACGCTCGGCGGCCACGCGGCTGACGCGCCGACGCCAGTCGCGCGACCGGCCGCCGTGGCCACGGCAAGCCGACGCCAGTCCGACACCGCAGTCCGCCCACATAGCGCGCGCACCCCGACTCCACTGCGCTCCGACCACGAAGCCAGATCCCACGGCAGTCCGACTCCACGCTCCGCTTCCGCAGCTGGCTGACTCCCCGGGCCGACTGCCCACAGTCTGACTCCACGGCAGACCAGCCCCACAGCAGCCCCCCCACAGCAGTCCGACCCCGCATCAGTCCGACTCCGCAGTCCGACTCCAGAGCGCGTAGGCCCCAGACACGACGCCACCCGCGCCGCGCCCCAAGCGGCCACGAGCGCGCTTGACATCAGTCGCGCGCACTGCGCCAATTTCGCGCAGCAGTCCGACTCCACAGTCCGACCTCGAAGGGCACCTGCTCACTGTGACCCCGCCGAGTCCGTCCGCGACGCCGACCTGCCCCGACCCGCCATGGGGCAGTCCCGCGGCGCCGCGTGGACCGTCCGGCGACCGCGCCAAAGCACGAGCAGACCCACGCAGCTTCTCGGGCCGACCCTCGACCCAGCACGGCCAGTCCCGCAGCGAAGTTGCCCGTGCAAGCACATGACAACGCGCGAGCGGGTCAACCGCGAGGCGCGTCGCCAGCGTCGGCGTCGTCGGCAATGTCGCCGCCGGAACAACTAACCAACGACGCAGCCAGTGCAGACATTCGCCTCTACGTGGCCATCTCCGCCATCTGGGCAAGCAACCTCGAAGCCGTTGACGCCGCTCGGGCGCCCCTAGCTCCGGGCGTTATATGCGCCGAGCGCGAGGCCGAGTAATTGGGCGTCGAAGGCGAGGCCCCCCGTGGCGAGCTCTTCGCCCGAGGCGACAGCGTCGTGATCCTTGACCCGCCCAGCTCCCGCCGGGGGCGCAGCAGCGCCGCCCTGAGACCTCGCCGCGACGCCGTCGCCGTTCAGCTCGACTGTGGCCTCGCGGTCGCAGCGCGGCCCTTCGACGTGGCTTCGCTCTGCGAGTTACGCGACGACAGCGACGGCGATGGCGACCCTGGCCTGGCGGAGGACAACGTCGACGCTGGCCTATTGCGGCGGCGTTCGGAGGACGGGAGCGAGGAAGGTCCTCCATTAAACTACTCCAGAGGCGAGCAGGCCACGATTGCCGACCCGCCCAACCCCTGTTGCGGACGCACCGGCACGGTCATGGACGCCTCCAGCGAACGCGTCGCCATCCAGCTCGCCGATGGCCGCGCGGTCTTCATGCGCCTCTCCGACGCGGTCGGCTTTTGGTCGACCTTCTTCGCCCGCGGCGACGACGACGCCGCCGAGGCGATGCGCGACCACGAATGGCCCCGCGACGCTGCAACGGCCAGTGGCCACGCTGTCGGCGCACCGACCTCAGTCGCGCGACCAGCCGTCGCGGCCGAAACGGGGCGACTCCACGGCCGTCCGACTCCACTGCCCGACTACGCAGCACGCGCAGTCCGACTCCGCAGCAGACCGACTACACAGTCAGACCCCCCAGCAGTCCGACCCCGCAGTCCGACCTCATAACCAGCCGACTCCGTTGTCCGACCGCCCAGTCCCAAACCACAGCAGACGCTTCTGCTACTGCGTCGCCGCGGCAGGGGTGCCGCTCGCAGGAGGGTGGCGACGGGGATGTAAAAGACGACGTTGGCCTCGATCTGGTCGTGCTCGACGCCGCCCCCCACGTCGCCGCGACGATGTACGACCGCGAGCAGCCCCACGACACTGCAACGTCTGGCGGTCACGCTGTTGGCAAACCGACCGCAGACGCACGACCAGCCGTCGCGGCCACAATTGGGCGACCCCACGGCCGTCCGACGCCAACAGTCCGACTACACAGCGCACGCGCGCAGTCCGACCCCACAGCAGACCGACGAATGTACCATCTCTGTCGGCCCCGCGGCATCGGGCGCGCCGCTTCCTTGCCTCACAAGGGCGCTGCCCGTCTGTGTGAGCCGCACCCACAGCTGTTGCGGTGCTGACGCCTGCCACACGCGCCACTGGCTGGCGCTCGCTGACGCCGTGTCTGTTTCACTCCACTCTCTCGAGATTCAGTCGTCTGACGGCGCGTCATTTGCCGTCTACTGAAAAACAAATGCACTTTACACTGCTTGCCTCCCTGTGTCATACTTGCCCGCCCCGGGCCCCACCATGACCGTAGGCCCCACTTCTCGCCAGCCCGTTCGCCCGCGCGGCCACGCGTCATCGGGGCCTGGCTGCGGCGGCGGGGGACGCCCTGTCGTTCGCAAGCCGCTCAGCGGCCAAGCCTCTGTCCCCCGGCCGCCAACCGGGGCTTCGTCGACCCGCGCCCTTGTCCTTCGCGGGGCGCCTTCACCTGCTCAGCACCCCGTCACTTGCCTCAGTCGCTTTGCGCCCGGGTGTGGTTGTTTCAGCACTCCCCGTATTTTAAGGTGCGCACCGCCGCCAAGAAAAAGATGGCGGCCTCGGCCACCGCAGTCGCCGGTTGTCGACGGGACTCCCGCTTACTTGTCCGATCTCTCTCTCTCTCTTTCTCTCTCCTCCTCGTTATTTTCCTCTTCCCCCTCCCTCTCCTCCTCCTCCTCCTCCTCCTCCTCCTCCTCCTCCTCCACCTCCTCCCCCCCTCCTCCTCAAGTTAACGCCAAGTTCGGATACTAAGGCCAACGCCCTGGGGCAAGAGCGGGCGGATGGGCACATCCCCAAGCGGGGACCCCACGTCAGGGGTCTGGCAGCGTGGCAAGGGCCACAGCACGCGGCATGTCCATGGAGGGGCCAGTCGTCCCATTTGGCGATGAAAATTCGGGACCCGTGGAACTCTGGCCTGCCGTTTCTCAAACCATGTGCAGATAGCAGGCGTGAACGAAGCTGCACACGAACAGGTCAACGCTGAAGGAGTGGAAGAAGCTGCAGATGACCCAGCACGCATAAAGGCAATGACGGATGACCAAAAGATGGCGTCGCCAAGTCGCGGCGGAGTGCTCGTGCGTCGCCAATCGGCGGCTTTGAGACTGGCGACGGGGACGAAACGAACACAGGGAACGACATCGCCAATTGGCGGTTAGGCGGTTAGGCGACTGGCCATTGCCAAGCAGCAAGTGGAAGGGGGAAAGCAAAGTAAAGGCAGCCAGACGAAGGAGGGAAAGGAAACGGGAGGAGGAGAAGGCTCAGGAGAGAAGGAGATGATAGAGAAGAGCAAGGAGGGAGGAGGGGACACCGCAACTTCGGTAACCGCCAGCCCAGGCAAACACGAGGAAGAGGGGAAGAGTTAGGGAAGGCCAGTAGCATCCCCGAATGGCGGCTGGGATCAGAGATCCCGCCGAATGGCGGTTTGGGGCTGGGGAGGAGCACAGAGAGAGAAGAGGAGGGACACAAGAGCCCCAGACGGCTTCGGACAACTGGGCGAGGAGGGGGAGAAGGAGGGGGAGGAGGAGAATGAGGAGGAGGGGGAGGACCAGGAGGAGGAGTGCAGCCCAAAAGGCTGTGGACTCGAGGGCACACCACAACGGCCAGAACTGGCAACACCGCGAGCAAATGGAGGCCAAACGCTGCTCGGCAGCCCCCCGGCTCCCGCCCCCCGCCGCCGCGATGCTCGGGTTCCGAGGCCACCAAAGCGGCATTATGCCTGGCCTGGCTGCCCGGCCGCATCCTGCCGAGCAGGCCACGGCCGTGTCCCGCGGCACGTCTGCAGCACGGCGAAATCGCTACCGGCAGCGACCTGCATGCAGATCGAGCCCGCGGCTGGTGCCGGTCGCCACACCACTCCTGCCCGCTCTAGCAGCAGCGACACGTGTGCAAGACCAGCCCTCGTCCAGATCGACGGCGTTACGTTGCCCACCGCTGTTCCGGCAGCCGCAGGGCGTGGCTATCCCATCGCTCGGCCGCTCCGTAGCAGCACGGCGCGAGCGCACCCCCCAAGGGCCGGTAGAGCGCCCTCCTCCTCCTCCTCCTCCTCCTCCTCCTCCTCCTCCTCCTCCTCCTCCTCCTCCTCCTCCTCCTCCTCCTCCTCCTCCTCCTCCTCCTCCTCCTCCGCCTCCTCCTCCGCCCCTCCTCCTCCTCCTCCCCTCCTCCCAAGGGCGGCGCGGCGGTGGCGTCCTCCCACTCGCAGCCGTGCCGATGTAGGGCGCCTCTCGGATGGCCCGATGATTTACGGGGAGCCCTACTCTGCCGTCACACCTCCTCCCTCCTCCTCCTCCTCCTCCTCCTCCTCCTCCTCCTCCGCCTCCTCCTCTCCTCCTCCTCCTCCTCCTCCTCCTCCTCCTCCTCCTCCTCCTCGTCCTCCTCCTTCTCATCGTTTCTCTCCTCCTCCTCCTCCTCCTCCTCCTCCTCCTCCTCCTCCTCCTCCCACCTCCTCATCATTTTCCTCCTCCGCCTCCTCCTCCTCCTCCTCCTCTTCCTCCTCCTCCTCCTCCTCGTCCTCGTCCTCGTCCTCGTCCTCGTCCTCGTCTCGTCGTCCTCGTCCTCGTCCTCCTCCTCCTCCTCCTCCTCCTCCTCCTCCTCCTCCTCCTCCTCCTCCTCCTCCTCCTCCTCCTCCTCTCATCATCATCATCATCATCATCATCATCATCATCATCATCATCATCATCATCATCATCATCATCATCATCATCATCATCATCATCATCATCATCATCATCATCATCATCATCATCATCATCATCATCATCATCATCATCATTCATCATCATCATCATCATCATCATCATCATCATCATCATCATCATCATCAGCATCATCATCAACATCATCATCATCATCATCATCATCATCATCATCATCATCATCATCATCATCATCATCATCATCATCCTTTTCCTCCTCCTTTTCCTCCTTTTCCTCCTCCGTTTCCTCCTCGTTTTCCTCCTCTTCCTCCTCCGTTTCCTCCTCCTCCTGTTCCTTCTCCTCCTCCTCCTGCTCCTCTTCTTTTTCTCCCTTCCCCTCCCCCTCCCCCTCCGCCTGTCCCTCCGCTTGAGCCTCCGCCCATTCGTCCTCCTCGACTGTCTCTTCCTCCGCATCCTCCCCCCGCGCATCCTCATCCCCCCTCCTCGCCCCGACACAAAAAACATAGTATGTTAACCAGCGTGGATCCCAAATCGTGCGTCTCTAACATCATGTGTTGTGGAATCTACGTGGCGCAACATGTGTGGTTCAGTGCACGTGGTGTAACATATGTTGTGCAACATGTGTTGTGCAACCGATGATTGGCAATCGATGTTGTGCAAGAGTTGTGGAGCAGTCCACGTGGCGCAGTTGATTATTACAAACGAGTTGACACGTCCAATGTCCTTGCAAACGTCCCACCCACCCACACGCAACTTGGTTTACAAAACCCACGCGGCGGCGATTGCGATGAGTGCTTGACGTTGGCTGGTGGAACTCTGCGGGCGCGCTAGCCCGCGCATGCTCGCGCGCGCGCAGCGGCCAGCTAGTTTGGCGAAACCGACGCGGCCGTGGTGGCGCTGACCGCTGGGCATTGCCAAACGGGCACTTCAGTGCGAGTCGGTGGCTTGGGCGGGCGCGGTACCATGGCGACGCCCACAACGGTAAACGCGAGTATGAGAATAGCGATGACGCTGACGATGGCGGCGATGACAATGTCCCCGCGTCGACGATCAGGATTGTTGCTTGTGTTCGACACGCGCGCGAAGCCGACGCGCGAGTGGCCCGCGTGGTATTATTTGACACTGATCGTGCTTCCCCAGCCCGCGCGCAAGGCGCTCGAATGATTTCGACATGCGGCACGAGAGGCCCGTCGGCAGAGGTCGATGCAACGTTGGGGAATAGACGGTTGTCTTCGGAATCCGCAATACCGCGAACGCAGGTTTTTTTTTTCTTCTCAAAACGGCCGTTGAGTGCATTGCCTGTCCATCGTCATACTAGGCAGACGTGTCTTGTGATTGATGGCTTGTTCTGCCTGTCGACCTTCATTTTCTATTAGCCCACGAAGAGCTAACCTCCCACTACGAACTGGTGGGCACATGGCTGCGTAAGTCTGTCAAACAGAACTACTTCAAGAAAAGCAAGGTGCATCCACGCGCGCGCGAGGCGGGCCCGCCCGGCGCACGCTTTCTTCCTTGAGCGGCTATGACAGCTTCGGAGACAGTCCAGTCCCTCCACGCGACCCACGCCCCACCTACACTCTGCAAGGGGGAAGAGCGGAGCGCTGTAAAAGCAAGCGGAAGGAGCGCTAGTAACGACTCCCCGCGCGGGCACCTGGCGCGACATCGCGGCGCCGGGGCGGGCGTCAGCGCACTGGCGAACGCCCCGAGCAGGAGAGGCGGGACATGCCGGACAGACTTCAGCAAGTCCAGAGAGCGCTGAACAGCCTTCACCCCTTCCCCAAGGGTCACTCTGGGCCCATCACCGCGCCAAACCGGAAAGAATTGCGCGGCGCAGGCTGCAGTGGAAGGAGTACTCCTGTCATCGCCCAATGGGGCAAATCGAGGGCCCCCCGACGCGCCCCGCCAAGAATAGCATTAGACGCGCGGGCCGCCAAGCCGCCATCCCACGACGCTACTGGCCCGTCGACGACCTCGGCGCGCCCGCGGTTCATACCTGCGCACCGCGGGGGCCGTGTCAGGCTGGGACATCGGGTCGACCTTTCGCCCATGCCCGTCGCTGGAGCGGTCGCTCTTCCACCCCTGATCACCACGGCGACACTCACGACTCCAATCGCCGCGTTGAGTCCGCCAGCCAGGGCCCCCTAGCGGCCAGACGTCTCGGCAAGCAATGGGGCTCGTGAAGACGCCGCTTCACCCTGCCACCGCTGGCCATAGTCACGATGACACGGCGCAACAGGCTCTTGCGTAGCTGCCGCGCGCCGCCGACGCAATCAGCGTAGGCGGCCAAGGCGTCGGCCTCGAAGCAGGCTCACCAATCGGATGCCAATTCCTGGTCGGCCGCGGCTCGACCCTTCGCCAAGGGGGCGCGCCAAGCGATGTGCGCCAATCATTCGCGGAAGATCCACCGACCGCGAGAGGGCCACGCTGCCGGAACGCCCGCAGCGGCATGCCCTGTTCCGATCGCCATTTTGTTGGCTACCACGCCCGAAGGCGCGCGCTGGCGGCCTGACCAGGCCGGTCAAGACTGCTGCTGCGCTTCTGAGCACGAGATGCATCTCCACCGTGTGGCGGTCCTGGCCCGCGCGAGCTTGTGCCCCTGCCTAGGCGGTGGAATGCGTCCGTGACTTGCATCTCCATGAGACGAGGATGCAGCGCCGTCGGCAGACGCAGCAGCGCGGTCATCTCCTTATTATCATTCTTCTTCTACTGCACCGTCTTGTTCAATCAGCTCCATGGGGCCCCAGTTGCCCTTGAGATGGGTCCACAGCATATCGTTTGAGGTACTCGAGAATAGGGAAGTGATATCAATCCAAGACATTCTCCCAGATGCCATGCCCCCCGCCCGCTCGACGGGTCGGGCGCCTCTTCAGACAGTCTGAAGTTGTCCCGCAGGAAAGGCTCCAAACATCAGAAATTCTGCCCGTCGGCTTGGACGCGGTAGCTCAGGGGCGGCATCCAAACTTCAGCAGGGACAACAGCCTTGGGCCCGACGGCCGGCGCGCCCATGTGCTTCTGGAAGTTCACCCAACGTTCGCCCAATTTCAGAGCCTTGTTTTGAAGCCACGCGTGGACCTAATCTGGCACAGTATCCTCCGCCGACGCGGGCCGCCACGAAAGCACGGTCACGCATTGAAGCGCATGGGCTGCTTTGGCTTAGAGAGCAAATTTGCGCCGGCATTTTGCCACCGCTGGATATCCCCAACTTTGCCCTGATTTAGCTATGTGTTTCTCGGTGGTCTTTCCCGCTGCGCATGCCGGAGGCCTCGCAGTCGACGCAGGAATGCGCTTCCCAGTCCCAGGGCCGATGCCCATACTCATGAACATCCCACGGCCGAGCGCCCCCCATGCAACTGCAGGCCGAATCGCGCTTGGGGGCCCAAGCCTCGGCTCGCGCAGCATCGGCCGCGAGCAGTGCAAGCAGCTGATCGTGCCCAAAAAATTGCGACGCGCATGTGAGCATGCGAGGTAGCCATCCTCCCAGGGCGGAGGAAGCGCCACCTTACGCTGAAAGTCTCCTGAAGCCCTCCGAACATTTAAATCACCGTGCGTGACATACCCTTCCCTGTGTTTAGCGTAGTCGACGCATCCCGAGTCTGGCAATGGAGTGATCCAAACTGTTCCGAAACGCCGACCGAACACGACCGTCCACGACTCCGTCTGGACGGGTGCATCTGACACGGCGATCCGCAGGATCAGGTTTATCTCATCCCAGCGCGGACGGAACTCGGACGCCAAGGAGCCGTCGGGCATGGCCCAGAAGATAGCATGTTCGAAGGTGCGATGAGAGACAATTGCCATATATCGCCCAATCAGTTTCTCTGGGTTGCCTACAACGAACACCCTCGCGCCAAAAATATCGTCGGATAGCGGCCTGGACGATCCGTTCAGACGCAACCAACGTGGGAACTGCTCTGGCTGATCAACACTGTAACCATCCTTTTCTTGCAAAATGCGCATTGTCCTCGGTCGTCTCCGCGACCAAGTCGCCCGGTCTTGGACAGTCATGCAACTTGACGGGGGTCGCAGGCGCATAGCGACACTGGCGTCACACGTTGACGTCGATCTCTGGAGGAACCATCTTGTCAATCATCGATGGCAAGACGCTCGACGCAGTGAGAGGGGAGACCATCGCCGTTGGCACGTCGCCACCTGTCGGCTGGTCACGGGGGAAGATGCGCTCAGGCTGAAGCGCTCTCACCGAGTGCCCCCGCGACGAGCGGGCGACGATGGGCTTCGCATCTGGCGGCCCGAAGTCTGCCCCGTGCTACGCGCCGCAGCATTTAGGCGCTGTCCGCCCGTAACTCTCCGCCCAGCGGTCCCGATGCCCGACCGCTGGCTCGTCATTTTCCACAAACTTGACACCCGATACTTGTGTGGAATTCTTGGGTACAGCATTGGGTGCGCGCGTCGGCCGGGACCGCGGGCGGTCCAGACCCTTGTTCTTCAACGTCTCGACGACGCGGGCCGTCTCGACCCATCCCCCAGAGCAGAGGACATCAACCCCAAACGACTCAAACCGCGAGGAGCGCTTTCTCTCCCTCCTCCTTCGCCTCGCCCTTCCCCCG